TGGTATCTGCCTAATCCCTGTACTACTACCCACGTAAAATTTTGGGTGAGGAGGAATCCCCCTGTGTGTGCGCGTGTGTGTACCGGTTTAAGGGTTTCCAAAAAAGGTGATTTTGAGGGTTTCAGATGAATTTTTTTTTAAAAAAACTCTGCGTACAATGCAGTTATTGCTGTCGCTCCCCCTGCTAGCGCCATCCACCACCGTCGTCATCTGTTCACATGAAAACGATGTTTTTTTTTTTTGATCTGTCTTTTATATTTTGTCTTGTTGAAGTACGAATAACTCACGTTATGGAAAAGCATCTCCTCGGTTCCTGAACAATATTTGTCAGTTGAATTTTCCCTGTTTTATTACTTTAAAAAAAAATTTTTTTTTTTAAATCGTCTTGATGTCATTTGAGAAAATGAACTGTGAAATAAAGTTTTTTTTTTTTTTATCAGAAGTGCAGAGACATATCGCTCTACAGTCCAATTAAGCTGACAGGGAGGAGGAGGAAGAGGGGGGGGGGGCGGCAAAAAAATCTAGAAGTTAGGCTGAGAGGGAATAAATTCTCGGGTTAGGTGCTTCTGCCTGTGATAATTTTCCCGCTTTTGAAGGGTTTGGAGCAGGTCTTGCAGTAGATAGTGGTTTCGGGATTATCTCGAGGATTCCATATCCAGAATTCCATTTGCTGATTTTACAGACAAGCTACCCTAACGTCATAGATCTCGAACAGCTTTTTCCCAACAGTCCCTTTGTCCTTGCGATGTTTCTTTAGCTGCTTGATTCGTGGATTTCTTGAATAGCGATGATTAGCGGAGGACTGAATTTTGATGCTTTATGACGACATTCTAGATCTGCGAGGATATCCAGGTTTTTTTCGCATCCGGGTTTAGGATGTTTCGCCAAATTCATAGTTTCTGCAGTATTGAGAAAGTACGCAGAGGTATGCGTAAAGCTGCAAGGATAACTTGAAAAACCACGATCCTCTTGGATGTATTTGGGATATCCGAGACAGTAGCTAATGGATAATCTGGGTCTCCATCTATGCAACCAAAAATCCTCCTAAGCTGCAGAATCGCGATTTTCGCGGGTATATCTGGGATGCCTGAGGCACAAGTTAGGTTACACGGATAACTTATAGAACCACGATTCTCACTGGATATATCTGGGATGCCTGAGACACGAATTAAGTTACAAAGGTAACAGAACCACGATTCTAATGGGATACTAGCTAATAGATAATCTGGATCTTCATCTGTGCAACCGGCAAAATTCCATTATCTATGGTACCAATCCAGCGGTGTACGTGCAACCACAAGGAGATTTACCGAGATAAAGTTTTCCTCCACTAGTGGAGGAAAACATGGATATACCGGGATTCTTAATCCAGGTCTCCCGTCTGTACATTCAGCAAATTTCCGCTAACTGTCGTCTTCATTCAGTTATGTGCGCACAACTGTGGGATAACTTATTGAGTTACGCTTTTGTCTACTGTGGAAACGAACCTGGATACCTAGGTCATCTACCGACTAGTAGTCTCCCACCCTTATTCTTCCTCCCCTCCCTCTCCCTGCCCCTTATTTATGCAGTTATCAAATTTTTTATCGACTACAAGCTTCAAAGATGTACTTACAGCTACAGGGATGATTTAAAGGACCTAATTCTACAGGACCTACTGCAGGAACGGCTACAGAAATCTTACAAGAACGACTTAATGGACCTAAACGTCTTATCTCCTTTTCATACTGTTATCTATTGTGCCTTCAGTAGTTAGGCTTTCAAGGTCAACCTGGTTGCTACGGTCTGCTTACAGGACTGTTTCTTGTAATGAATATGCCTGGAACAGCCTACTGACAGACAATTTGGATCTCCGTGCAAGCATCTGGCAACTTTTTCATCGATCCCTCTTCAAAAGCGCACTTGCAAAATACGCGAGTGATTCACAGAAATGTATTTCTGTCTGTTGTTTTTATGCTTTTGAAATAAACACTTCCCGAAAAATGTGTCGTTCTGAAAAAAAGTCGCAAAAACCGTCTTTTTGCCGAAATTCAGCGGAATATTTTGTTTCATTGAATTTTGCTCAAGCAGACATAAAAGTCACGTAACACGTGCGCCACGTGTTACAACTGTCATTGCGTGCTAGGTGTTACAGCTAAGGGATGAAACACAGACTGCTTCACGATTTATTCATCGATACATGGCTTTACTTAGATCCAATATTTCAGATTTCGTATTACATAATGCACCTAAATGGATCATCTCAGACAGAAGAGAACAAAATTATCTATTAGTTCGCTCTTATTTCCGGAGGAATGAGTATCGGAATTTTACTGGTAGTTCATAAACTGCTTCTCAAACG